GACGAAATGTTAACTATTTGCGGACGAGAAGCGACTCTCAGTCGCCACGGAAAAATCGCGACCGAAAAAGTCGTCGTCCAGAAAGGATTAATCTTGTTGAGCAATCTTTATTACTTTCAGGCGCGTTGTTCGTTAATGTAGATTGATCTTTAAATTACCCCTTAAAAAAGTACAGTTTGTTGTCATTAACAGTAAGTCAGAAAAAATTAATACCAAGTACGATATAAAATGATAAATTTACAATCGACAGCAGGTTTCAAATAATTATTGTTTGGTCTACGCTATCGTTTTGACCAGCAACGTATATCCGCGGATCGACGTCGCATTTTTTGCAAACCTGAATCAACCAGTTAGTAGGTTCCGGCTTATCTTTTTCTCCGGCTGTCCTCAACATTTATATATAACCAAACCCCGTAATTTACACTCGTCTTATTTTTCCCACCACAACCAGTTTCAACCACGTAATCACATGTCGCGTGAACAGGATCATCATCGACATCGGAACGATAGAGGTGGGGAATCTAGTCCAATACAAACTAGAATATGTTTAACGATTCGTGGTGGAACATACGACTGACAAAAATCAATCGTAACCTGATACGCGGGACACGGGAAAGATGTACATGTATAAAAACACTCCGGACGAACTGGCACGTGATTAATACATCATGTCTTTGTTCTATAACTAATCCTGGTTTGGTCCCTGTGACTGGACCATTCCATCCAGGTCAGCTTTCCAAAACTTCGTAGAGTACGGATGTTACTTCCTCGTGAGATAATATATTCTAAAGTATATTGAAATTCAAATTTCACCGCGTCAAACGATTATTTTATTACACATAATCCAACAATTCACGACAAGATCTGAAAGGTAACTTTTGAAGTTTCTATCTCAGCCAACTAAGTAAGAGTACTTGAAGAATCAAAAACTAGAGTTCGAATACAGATCGAAACACTTCAGAAAAGGCATATAAAAATGTATCGAATGATAACAGAGCAACGAGTATCGTAACAATCGTAGAGTTTAACGGTGCGGAACGAAAGTGTATATTTCGGCGATCCGAAGAAATGGCGGTTCGTTTCGGCGTCGCGGGAACGAAAAGCCCGTGAAGGGCTTTTTAGCAACATTCCCGGCGTTCGAGTCGTTTAAATGCATCGCAGTGGCGTGATTCCATGCAGTTGGCCTTGGAGGCTGCTAGAGCGTCAAGCTCCTCTCTTCGCCCGCTGGCCCTGAGCTGGTGGCCACGGTCAAGGCTACGAGCACCCTCTCTTTCTTCTCGTTCTTTCTCCGCCTCTATTCCTCCGCGCACACTATCGTCATTTCAACCACTTTATCCGACTCACACTAACGCTCTTACGTCTCGGAGGAGAGAGGCCTAAAACTCGCCCGCTCCGCACTTCGGTGCGCGTGAACCACGCGCAGAAATTGCCACAAAATTATCGTGCCGACGCTGATGATAAGAAAGAATTTATTCTAAGCACACGGATGAACAAAACTTCGAGCTGGACTAATACTCGACCGATTCAAATATAGGGCAGTAAGACGAAAAACTATTTTACTTCGATGCTTCGATTTGGAGGCCTGAACGATGACGTCACGCACGAGAAATACCGAGTGCCATCGAGACGACGGTTTCGTAATCGCGTAGGTTAAAGGAAGGAACAGGGGCGCCGAGATAGGAATTCGCCAGTAACGAGATCGGGACCAAAATAAAAGATCGCGTAACATTCGTCTACACGTGTGTTACGTATAGTTCGATGGTGAGGGACGATTTCAGTAGGGACTGGCCCCGTCGAACCGGTGGAAAATAAACAGAAATAGGACAGGTTCCAAGACTGGATCTAAATATAGGATTACACGGAGTGCGCGTACTATGGGTGGGGCGCCATCGTAATCGTTGTGTTCGTCGCCCTTCGTCTTCTCCTTGCTCTTTAAACGTAGCTCTAGAGACAACCTATACGACACACAACACGGTCACCTATACTTCGATCTACGAGGCTTCCATGAAAACGAACCCCTGCGTTCATTCATGTCCTACGAAACGCGCGTCTAGAGAGTTCCTTTACCACGATATGTGACCGGGACAATTGACTTTTCCTCGTCCTTCTCGACCCCTTTTTATACCGCCATTACAGCCCCGAAACAATATATTGGGTCGCGACTCAATTTCCTTCGATCGATACGTCTAACCTCCAAGTAGCTTTCCTCTATAGACTTTGGAAAAATATATGAAAGCTACTTTTCCTTCGATCCTGGTTCTTCGTGAAAAACTTTACTCTCCCTTTTCTTTATCAAATGAAAATTATTCGACTTTGACTGAATTAAAAAGGTAGCCCGTAGAAAGTGCTCTTTTTATAAATCGAGCTGCGTAAATTGAACCTATTCGAATAGTTCGAGCCCGAGTTTCATCCTCGAGAAACGTAAATTTTTTTTCTAAAAATATCTCGCGCAATTGGTAAAATATGATTCAACGTGATACGAGTCATCCCAACCTCTGACTCGTTATTTCATTTTTCTCTACACCTTGTTCGGAGAATCCTAGCATGCTGCGGTTTCTACAGTGATCCACTCACGGGTGCCGGCGCCACAAAGCCGCGACAGCTCGACAGAGTTTCATCTTTTTTTCTTTCATAACCGGGAGCATCAAAGTGTCCCGAAAAAAAGAGCCTGGAAGCCGGCGTTAACTATCTACGATTTAGATCAGAGTTACAGACGCGCGCGGCATTTGAAAGAGTCAAGAGCCGGTGCCGCGGTGTCGCGTTACAGGCTCAATTCATCCGTAAACTTCTGCGTAGCCGAATTGTCGCCTGCTTTCTTCAACCGGCCTCGCCACGCTCGAGCGCACCGAAAAAACTTTATACTTTTTACCCGCCACGCCCTTAACCCTTTTGCTGGTCGCGAATGTAAAAGTAGAACTCCATGTATACATAAACGTTTTGACAAAGACTGTGATACGAGTACGCAATGTGTACCGAGAATAAAGTAACGACTTTACGTTGGTATTCTTAAAAAGAAGGCTAAGAATATTTTTCTTCGTAACGTAAACATGTAACACTATCGATATCTGGGTAAGCTCTGGTATATAAACGATAGGCAGGTACGATACCATTAAAATAGTAATTGATTTCCGCGATGGAACATTTCGTCAAGCGAAAATATCCCTTTAACTCTATTCTTAGAAGGATGCCCCGCCGTATTGCTTTTTTTCCAGCAAAGAAGTCTGCTTTTCCCATCGTTTGGCCACCATCCGGCGAAAGTATTTCGCGAAACGTGCCTCGCGCGATTATTTATAGCCGTTGCCTGTACACGCGTACGCCGCAAACGCGAAACAACTCCGTCGCCCCGAAGAAATGAAAATATTCCCCTCTCTCCGTCTCTCTCTCGCTCGTTCTTTATACGAGCTTCGAAATCGCGCTATAAAAGAAGGAACGGAAGCGTGTGCTTTCCATACGGAATATACGCGTTCATTCTCTCGCCACCCCTTCTGGCCGCCTCGGCCAAACGACCCCCTGCACGCTAAACTTTAACGCAACACTTTCGAGGGCGCGACAAAAGCTCTATATCGAAAATCCTTCGCGATCCCCCAATCTCTCATATTCTCGCTCGCGTCTACCTACTTTGTCTTCCTCCGGTGACACGTACCGGCGAGGAAATTTTCGAGAACCGCGGACGAGCCGAGGAAAACTTTGATCTGGGTGAGAACTTTGAGCGACGAATACGAAATCAAATATTTTCACCGTTCTTTCATTCGCGAGCTCGATACTGCCCTAATCCACGAAGAATTTTAAAGGGCAGACTGCTTGGAGCAATGCTCTTCGAAACATGGGTGTTTAGGAAGACGAAAGGAGTCGAAATTATATAGAGAACAGATAGAGACATTTAAAAATCTTTCGAGGCCATTTAAATTTCCAAATTCACGTAAATTTATGCTACAACTTTTAGTCAAGCCAGAGCGAACAAAAAGTTGTCTCTCTTTCATTCGTTACTCGAAATTTCTCTAATATTTTCCCATCTACCTAATTCCTGCGACTCTTTCGAGAACCAAGACCGTCCTCAACTCGAGACGACAGTCTATCCTGAGAACGGAATTCAAGCCGAGTGAGACGTGCAGAGATACACCGACGTCCCTTTAGGTGTTGGTAATTTTATCTCCGAGGTGAGTGCGATTCGATAGAAACGCTCCTCTCTTATCGACGTCATTGAAGGCGACGAGGCCAGAGGAGAGAGAGAGAGAGAGAGAGTTCGTGTGGGAGAGAAACGTGACGAATTTGATAAGGGATCGCGGTAATTTTATTCCTACACGTAGACCTCACAGGGAGAGAGAGAGAGTCATCGGTATCGTGACCGTCAGGCCAATTATTGTTTGTAACGAGTCGGTCGTCGTTTTTTTCCCCTGGCCACCACCGATCCGATACCACGAATCCAGAAAGGCTCGCTCGCACGTAATACGCGTAATTGCGGGGGCGTTGCCTGGCGAAACTGCCAGCGTATCTCCGACACCTATCGTCCCGAGGAATTAATTACCATCTTTCCGTGGCGTTTAACGCGATGGAAAATTATATAGGTCGGCTCGAAATTGCACGTGAATACTTGGGGGATGTTTCCCGTACCTTGTCATTAGCGGAAGAAATTGCAACACCGACCGAATATGGGACAACTGAGAACTTCGTTGCTCATTAATTAAATAATTTTGCTCGATCGTATTTTAAAGACTAATTCTAGGTCTGTTAATATTTATTTAGTAAATTTGTCCAAAGTAGAAACCTGATATTTTTTCGAAAATTGTACCAAGTTTTAAAAGGTTTACTGGAAATGGAACTCTGTTATTGAGTTTATGTAGCGCACTATGCGAATTTTAAGTTAAACATTTTCTGTTAGATCTAAAAGCTATGATATATCAAGGTGTATAGAAAATTCCGGTCGTTCCGAGATATTTCTTTTTTCGAGGCTACAGGTAGCCTTTTTTTTTTGTTAGCATTAAGAAGAATTACGGTCTCACCGTGCTCGATCGCTGAAAAAATCGACCTTGCTCTTCTTCTTCATGATGGCCTGGGGCTGATGAAGCGGGCTGACGCTGGGCTCGCTGGTAGCCGGTGGGGAGCTGGATCCCGTGCTGGAAGACAGCGAACCAGCCCTTCCGCGGCCGGATTCGATCAACTGCAACTCGGTTGCACCGCGACCATTGGCCGAAACGTGATTGCCGTGGCTCGGCGGGCCAGCAGAAACGGCCAGCGTGGGCCTGCTGTTCTGACGATTGCGTCGTTTCTTTTTCTTCGCCTCGTTCTCCTCCTGCCTGTTGCCAGAAGCGTTCCCGCCTGTTCCAGGCGGCATCCAGTCCAGGTCTTTCTTCAGGTGTCCGCGACCGCAACGACAACCGCACGCTTTGAACGCGAGATCGTAACCCTTTTTCGTCCAGAGATTCTGATGGCGTTGTCGCTCGGACCAGCTACGTGCGCGTCCGCAACTCTTCAGATACGTGAGCACGGTTTGCTCCCAGGCGTCGAAGCACTCGCGATGCATGAACTGGCCGACAGGGCAATTGTCGTTGTTGCAGGTAACCTTGACGGTATCGTGCAATGAGTTTAGCCGAATCAACGCGTCGCCCCTGAGACACTCGCCGGTAGGCGTACAGCAACGCGTCGACGTCACTTGAGTTTGCACCAGCAGGTTGTTGTTGTCCATCGTGTCGTTGATGCCGGCACAGGCGCCCCCGTTTTCCATCAATGCACCACCGTGGCCGTTTCCGTGGCGCCGTGGTGCCATAACTTTCCTGAATTTATACGGGATCCGTATATATGCCCTCTTGTTCGCCTCCTCGCCAACTCTGATTTCTCTTCCCGGGTGAATTCGCGACGACTCGTGCAGGCAAGCTGAGGCTTGTGGCGACAAACGCAGCGGGTGATCGACCGATTGGAATTGATTCTTCGTTGCGCAACGGTTCCGTGAGACACTCTCTATTTCTTCATCTTCACGCAATTCCCGCGTCTCGCCTGTACCGTCTCATGCACACCCATTCACCGACCGATTCGTATTGCAAGATGTCGCGGGGAATTACAGTGACACCTCGAGTGTGAAACGGTCACTTGAGGGAAAAAGCGCGGTTCGTCGACGATCCAATGGCGCGATGTTCGAACGTCATTCGATGTCGCTTCGTTTAAATGGGACGAAACGAAGGGCACTTTGCGCACGAAACCTCGGAGAATCCACACGCGTCCCGAAAAAATCTGTTTATCGTGGTGGCGATGTTACGTGGCCACCAGAGTCAAGGTCAGCGTAGGCCCGAGCTAAAGTATCGACACGTTGTGTTCCCGGCACGGAACGGTCGAGGGATCGCGAAAGATTCACCGAATTCTCGCAGCCTCGAGCAAGGACGAGGAACGAATCCGTCACTGAACGTGTCTCGCCGGGTGCTTCTCTCGAATGTCAGGGTCACCGGGCGCGAAGCGCGCGCAGCGTCGAACGCAATTTCCCCGGATCGTCGAAAGTCGTTTCTCGCGCACCACTCGACGAGACGGAGAGATGATAATTGAAGCGATACGCGCGCAACGAACAACACACCGAGGCTCCGGTTCCTTCTTTTTTCTTTTTCCTCTCGTGCACAGAGTCCACGACGAAAAACACTTGCTCGCACGTAGGGTGCACCAGTCACTGAGCGCCGGCGACGACAGCGTGCCGGCTGCCGTGGCTCGGCGCGCGGGCGAGCGCGAAAGTGAGGCCCCATTGGGTGAAAGCGAAAGCAGCGTGGTGGGGGTCACGGCTAGCGCGCCAATCGATGCGCGCCGTTGTCGTCCCTCCGACGGGCGCACGCTACCGCTCTATCACGCTATCCCGTTCCCGCGTATCTTCCCGTTCTCGTTCCTCTCTCGGTCGCTGGCGCTGCATACACGAGCGCGCGTTTTACTTTTCGAAGCCGGCGAGGAGGCTCGCGTATAATTCTCGACACGCGTGTATCCCTCTTGTATACATACGTTCGAGCGAGTGTGCGACGTACCACATCTACGACAATGACGTTTTCGACGTGTCTCTCCAGCTACGCAGATATCGTAACGAGATAACGCTTGCCAAATTGAAAATTCTTTTCCGGCGGATCTCGCAGCGATGGCAAGTGAGTTGAACGAATCGATAGATAACAAATTAACTCGAATACGTGATTCTATGGACGTACATGTTTAATACCGTTTCGCGATGTCTCGTTCCAAAGCTTGGAAAACTTTAAGGTGTCCAACCAACATGGATGCCCAGAGTCAATAATTCTTTCATTTTTATGCAAAACAGAAAGCCGTTGGCGTCGCCCTTAGAGGACCATTTCTTTGCGACACTTTTCGAGTTTTCGAATATGTCAGCGACTTTCCCTTACATCTTTTGCGAACGTCTCGACGAGATCGGCTCACATCGCGTGATTGAATATTCTCGCTAGGTTCGTTGCCATTGGCTTTTATCGTTCATCTTCTAAGAGCAGATATGGCGTACGTGCCGAGTACCATGTATGTATTTCGAATTAGCGGTGACTCGACACACTCGCCTTATACATGAATGTTTAATGCGTATAAAATGTAGTTTCTCTTTTGCTTCGACTATAAAGGTATCCGACTCTTTTTGGAAGTTTGTGAGTATCGAACTGTTAGAGAATTGTGGTTATGTAAAAGTATCTATTACTATTAGTACGAAAAGAACAAAAGGAGACAGGGCCAGAGCAAGGCAGGTTCAGCGCATTCACCGGAACCTGGCTCCGCGTTTTAAAAGGCCCCGCGGTCTACGAAAATTACTGAATTAAAAGGTACCGATTTCGATTAACTTTTTACAGAATGACGATACCATTAACAAATGGAAGCAATTTTTGCCGAGATGCAAGACATTTTTTTAGTAGCGATGATTAAATTGAAAGGAGTAACAAAAATCATCAAAGTATTATTATTTAATATTCATCTTACAAAAAATATATAGCATTTGGTAATAAATAATTCCTCGTTGTAAAATTGAAGTGTAGGATTTGAGTGCGAATTCAGGTCCCATAAAATTTTTGAACCCGGCCCCGCAAAAGGTCACGCCGGTCATGAAAGGAGGCAACACTTGGGGTGGTCTCGGCAAAGATTAATTTCCTCGAAAATCGATAGACGGTCGAACATCAGTCTACTTTGAAGTGAGCCATGTATCGCCCCATCTGGTGGACAGTAAATAACCTTCGTCGGTAACGCTGTGTACAGTACTCGCGACAGTCTCTTTTTCTCGAATGTGACTTCTGTCGTGTGTACTTTTGCTTCAAGGGAACGTTGGTATGAAACAGCAAAGCGTCTCGCGAGGTGTAAATATTTACGCCTCTGGCCCTTGGGTATATTACGTCAAATTCTGGAGAAAAGTGTTGCGGTTCTTTTTGCGTCGCGAGCGTGACCCTGTGTACAGTGCGTATTTTCATCGCGTGAACTTTTTCATCGTGTTCCCGCCATAATTCTTCGCGGGAGATGAATTTCAGGGACGCGTCGGTCATAGCTTCTGTTTTTTCTTGCCGTGTCGTGTGCTTAACGCGTAAGTAGATTTCGTGCAAGAATACGAATTTTTGGAGAGGTTAGATACGCTCGAGGTTCGAATGCAACGAGTTAACGCGAAAGGGTAATCGGAATTGGTGGAAAGCCGAGCAGCGTCGCGATACGCGTTTAGATGTTAGATAAGCCATCTTAAATTTAACCAAGCTTGCGGTCACGCAGTTTTACTACGTTTTCATTTTTATTTCCAGCCTCGTTCCACAGTCGTCCCGATCGCTCAAGAAACGTCGAGCCACTTGAAGAGATGTATTTGGAATCGGAGTGCTATTCTGGACCGCATCTGAACGCCAATGACGTGAGTATTGTACAAACATATTATTTTTTCGCCAACATTTTCGGACATTGCCTCGACTGAAATTTATGACGAGACTCCTTTAGAGGAGAGTTGATATTTTCTTTATATCTCGTATACAGGGTGTCCCGAAAATGTTGTAACAGCTTGAAAGAGGTGGTTCGGGAGATGATTTGAAACAACTTTTTCCTTAGCGAAAATGTTGTCCGAGGTTTCGTTAAGGAGATATTAACGGAGAACACTGACCAATCAGCGGGCGCTCCATTGGCATTCTCGCGCTCTGATTGGTCGGGTAGTGCGTAGCCTACGCTACCGCGAGGGCTCCATCGGCACCCTCGCGCTCTGATTGGTCAGTGTTTTCCGTTAATATCTCTTCAACGAAACCTCTGACAACATTTTCGCTAAGGAAAAAGTTGTTTCAAATCACCTCCCGAATCACCTCCTTCAAGGTGTTACAACATTTTTGGGACACCCTGTATTTGGGATAAACTGGTATTTTTGAATTCAGAGACTGAAAAACTTGCGAAGCAATATTTGTCGTATCGCACACGTCGTTTATCTGCAATTACGAGAAGTGTTAGGTTATGGTTACGCTATTACGTTTAGGGGCCTCGTAACGAAGCAAGCTCGTTCACGCTCGCGAAAACGGGATTATGTTTACCTCGCACCACGCGATCCGAAAATATCGCGAGAGCGTTTATTGATAAATAAATCGGCGGTCTACGTATGCGTATCGGTTCTGTTCTCGTTTCGCTGCGTTCTCTTTCCCCCCATAGGACGGTTTATCGAAACTTTTGACAAGCGAATTGCACAAACAACGTTCAGAGATACGTATATATGTATATTAACGGGTAACCGTGGCGCTATCCCTTATCGAACGGTTCTGGCTTATCTGCGGCGAAGGTCATTAATGGCAGAGATTACATCCGGTGGTGCGAGAAATAAAAAGAATTGCCGGGACTAAAATAAACTGTGCGAAACGAACACGGTGTGGTTGGCGAAAGTATTCGAACGCTTGCAGTTGAGAATTATGATGATTCAGGGACGGAAGTTATTATATATTATTAGAATTTCTAGAGCAGTCGTAGACGAGATTTACTTTTCCGTTTCCACCGTAGTTTTAGATTCTTATTAGAACGTTAAAAATAGATAGATACAACGCGACAATGACACGACTTGCTATATGTCGTGCAACGCTCATTCTGATGTACTTTAACGTAAAGGCAAAGTTTTAAATAATGCAGACTTAGATAGATGGCCGTCAGCCGGTTACCGCAACTTCCGTCCATTCTCTTATCGTCCTGTGTCCTGGAAAAATCGTGCTTGTTGCGGGAGAAGAGCCAACGTGCGCGAATTTTTTATCGTGCGATACACGTGTTTACACTGACATATATATTGCCAGCGATTGTCGACGCCCACGCAGATGTGTCAGCGGAAGATTCTTGCGCAAACAATGGTTCCCAGTACCGCTATATCAAATATTAATGAAACGTGATCACGATCGACGTCGATAAAATCGACTTAGGATTAATTTGGCGCAATTTTCGAACGATTCCCACGGGCATCGGAGGACACAGGAGAGCACCGCTATCGGGAACGCATAACAAAGAGTCGATTTTGCCCTGCTGTCGGCTCGCGTGTGCTCGTGCGAGCGAAAACCACGCGGCGAAGCCGGCTCCTGGGACATCGACGAAACGAGATACGTATTAGATTACGTTGCATAATTTTATCGGCGATCGTAAAGCTGTTACGAAACGTGAGACTCCCAATTCTCTAAAGACGCGAGCCATAAATAACCCGTGTTGATCAAAATAACGTCAAACCCACCATGGCTCCAGCATTACGGAAATGTTTACCCGTGGCATGCTTCGTTTCGTGTCGAGGCTCTTAGGTGAAACAAAAAACCATCCTTGGAATATTGTTTTCGTTGTACGAGATACTCTGCTTCGACAGTTCTCTAGACAAATAACAAATCGGCGTTCAACGGATTTCTCCGAACAGCTTTAGAAAAACTAGTTGGAATCTTCGAGGGAATTCGTAAACAAACGTTCACAGAACTCGAATAAAAGTTTGAATTTATAGCTACAAGAATTTCTTAAAATCTGGATACGATGTAGTCCACGTGTCAATTATAACCAAACGATGACTTAAGCACCGTCTAATTTTAAGCGATAGACATCATATTACAATTTCGACAAGATCGCTGACATGGACCGTAAAAACTGACCTTCTTTGTCTATTCTTCAACGTAGAGTCCCATCTTTAGAATAGTTCCCTAGTTAAAGAATTTTCCTGTAATTCCTCTAACGATGAACAAATTCTCTAAAATGGTACGTGGTAGATTAGACCAAGGCGAATAGCATACAGAGCGTTGTTCTCTCCTTGGTTTGCGTTTAAACATTCACCCAGCGACGGGGAAAGAGCCCGAGCCGAGATTTTACGATTCTCACGTGACGAACACCCGGACACGGTAATAAATAAAAGGCCCTGGGACCTCGCAGGGTAGAGATTCACGGTACGTTCTCGAGTGTCTGTGCGACGATCGGCGACGAATTCGATTCGTCTCGATGATGAATACCTGGCCTGTTTATATCGAATCGTGTAAATATTGTATCGGCGCTAAGAGCCCATAAACGCAACGGGGAATCTAGGTCAGTCGGTGGCTACGTTAAATCGAGGCTTGCGCGAGAGCGAGGGAGAAGAACCGTCACCCTGGGGTAACAGGACGTCGAGGCATTCGAAAAAGGATAATCCGGCGTCCTCGAGAGGGCCCCGCATGAAAAAGTTGTTTTGATCGGTTCGGGTTTCTAGGACGGTGACCGTGAATAGGGCTTTGAGCTGGTATACGACTCGCACAGGCTTGGGGGGTTCGTGCACGGGGGAGAACCAGATGTCACCGAAAGGGACACGGCCCATACAGTTTGGTTCGCGCGTGAAGAGATCCGCTGGGGCGATTAAAAAATTCGAAGGAGCCAGGGCGGGCGAAAACCGGAGGTCCCGTAAGCGACAGAGACAATTGAGCGGAAGAAAAATTTCTTCCGTTCGAAACATGGGTCGGGGACCGTGGCGTCGTGTTCGTCGACCTTCTGTTCCGTGACTAAGTAGGTTCACGTCGAATTATTTATTCAACGACACAGTTTGATGTGGTAAAACCTGGTGTATAGTGTTGAGGTATTTCAGTTAAATACTCAATTAATAGTATTATTAATATACAGGCCCAACGTCAATTTGTCTATTATAAAATGGCCAATAATGCACACACATACACACACACACACGCACACACACTAATCGCGGCGATACAACAAAAATAATAGTGCTACAATGGTAAAATAACAATTGTATGATTTACACGTGCTCACTCTCAAAGGTCTCTCGAAGGAATTAAGAGACAGGCGTAAGAGCACATGTTATCAAGCAAAAAAAAAAAAATTACGTACACACGCTCCATCTGCTAAATTTAGCGCGTACCTCTTTCGCACTCGTACTATTGTTTTCGTGTGTGAAAGGCGGGCTACTTGAACAGTTTACTTCAACATATAGCTCCAAAGCATTCTGGCAAGAGTATCGTTTTCAGAAATTTCCGACATCGTCTATCCATTTACCGATTCACCCTATGCGCCATCTGCGAATGATCTCGCCGCGGCTGTTCGCCCAGATTGCAAAGATCAGTTTAGTCCGTACAATAAAAAAAGATTCGAGCTCGTTCTCCGTTGGATACGCGAACGTCGGCACGTTCGCGAGGGTGTGCTGGCGTAAGCAGAGATTCAAAGTCCCTGATGCAGTTTGGTGCGCGAGCAGCAGCGGCGTCGGCGTCGAAGGTGGGTGGAGGGTGCGGGTTCGGTGGATGGGGGGTTTTGAAGGTTGGGGGCACCGGGTTGACCGTGGGGTGCTGAAAAGCGGAGGTGTAGGTCTAGGTTCAGGGGCGGCAGTGCCCGGATGGGCGTGCACTTTCGGTTTCAGGCTGCGCATGCCCGCTGCACTCTTCGTTCTCGCCCTCTGCAGCCGAGGACTCTATGCGCTCATAAAGTTTCTAGCCACGTAAAATTCAACGCCACCGCGCAGTCGTTGTTCGTAGAAGCGGCGAGAGCGTTGTTGGTACGGCGTCGTCTCCGCTCGCGTCGCTATCTCGTCAGGATCGAAAATTACAGGGCGTCGATCGTGGACGAGCAGGTTCGTACCCGGGCGAGAGCACCCTTTCCGACGTTTCCCGCTCGCCCGCCACGTCCCTCGCGTTTCTCGGACTTGTTACACACTCACGACGCCCGATCGAACCGAATGCGCCCCTTTAGGATCCGTGAAATAGCCGGGATTCGCGATGCTTACGCAGCAAACCTCCGCGGGGAGTCGGATTGTTTTTACGCCATTGGCTGGAGGCCATTTATGCCACTCGACGGAAAAGGCTAATTTCTACATTCGATAGGCAGACGATAATTACGGGTCGATGTGTAGTAGAGTAGCTTAATATCTCATTTTATATTTAACCGTCTACCAATTCCTGTTCAAGGCAAGCCTACCTTACCTCTGAACCGCTTTAACCATCTTCAGGAAACCGCGAAAAGTCGTATAATCACGCGTTGTTTATGCTCCACACATGACGAACCACGCCCTGCGTGAGCGAACGCGCGGAGAATCGAGACGCGTCGAGCCACCAGATATCAAAGGTAACGCGGTAATTACTTTCGTCTCCCTAATTCGCGTTGCTCTGTGTGCACACAATTATTTGACTTCCAGGTAGACGGCACGTACAAACGTTCCTCGTGGTTATCCATGGAAATTTCGCTCCGACTACGAAGATGCAATTTTCGCCGTGTCCGCGCAGCACCTTTGCGGGGAACACCTGGTAATCTCGTTGACCACCTAAGTGCGATTAACTGTTTGGATAATCGTTTGGCTGCGCAATGACCTCGCGGCAGTGTTTACGATTGGTCGCGGAACTCTGTAAACCCTTTTACGACGCGTTCGACATTTGTTAATTTGCATTTACAGTTGCCTGGTAAAAGCTGACGTTATGCAACTTCGTTCGAACAAAAAAAAAAAAAAAAAAAAAAAACATAGAAAGAAAAAATATTTGTTTGGAGTTGCTATTAATAATTAAAAAAATTTGAATACGCATTTGATACCACGGTATTAAATCAGGAAGTTTAAAGGAGACGAGCAGGGGTTATTCAACGTTCGCGTGGCTGTTTCGCGACATCCGATCTCGCGAGTAGTCGTGAAACCTTAAACAAGCCCGGTGCAATGAACGGAAATTGACGTACCGGTCGAGCGCGTAGCGGAAAGAACTTTAATTAATGGCCCTCGGTGAACGAACTGTTCTGGTTAATGATCGGGGCTGCACGAAATACCAGAAAAATGCAGATTAACGTAACGAATAGTTACTCTGAAACGCGTCGATAATGGGACGGAAGGTTCACCTTGCAATTATTCGAGGGGCGATTGGCTTCGTGAAAGTCGAGGATTAAAGTAACAAATCGAAGTACTTATTTTTTCCCGCGCTTAGCATCGATAAATTATCGATATTTAAAATGCTCGTTGGCGCAACGCAGCCAGGCGACGGTGTTGGTATAATTTGTTCACGGATGGACTCGGCTTATTTCCGTCGCTAGGCAAAGCTATTCATAGCGTACCGACATGCAATTGCATAAAGGCAGTGGATACGTTGACCCTAAGCGTTACGTAACTCGCGTCTAGCGCCAGCTATCAGCGGAACGATAACACCGCCGCTCGATAGTTGGTCCGCCGTTGTATATCTATGAGAGGCATTTGCGCCTAGATCGTTGTATTATTCGCAATCTCTTCGTGCCTTATCTTTTCGGGTAACGTCCATCGACTTTCGAAACAAACGTCCCGTTTGTACGCCCGTTACCGTCGTCGGCGAGACTGCGCGTCCGCATCGGTTACCGTTTATCTCTCCGCATACTTATGTACGTGGGAACGTTACGGTAAACGACGCCGACGATATCGATACTCTCGGTAACAAGGATTGTCCTTCGATAAACGAAAAACTATCGCGGATAAAAAAGGAATCTCGGCCGTCGGATGGGCATTAAAGTTGCGTTCGATAAGAATCCGATGACCGTGCCAACGAAAGTATTACTTATCTCCCGGGGCATCCGATGTCCTCGTTATCTCTCAGATAGCTTTCGCGCGGTACCATCGTCGTACAAATAAAAATCACGAGAGGATCGCGAAGGCTTGCGAGAAGAGAAATATAAAAATTACGTGGATGGTTAATAGACGTTAGATTCTTCTTCCTCTGACGAAAATATTTTCTAGTTCCTGGCGATGCACCTGCAGGCTGGCAATCGACAAGTTCGAGATCCATTGGCGGCTGGCATCATAGGTTCGCGAGCGCGAGTTTAACGGGCTGTTAGATTTCAAAGTTTGCCTCGGGCGGGTTGTGGAAATACACAGAGGCGATCGTAGTTTGCAACAAAGCTGCGTGCCGGTTCGATAGCTCCGGAACGTTCGCCAAGATCGAAACTGGGTTACGCTCGCGGCTTGGAAATATAAGCGGAGATCCGCGCGCGCGACTGCTCGACAAAGCTACGGTCGCCCGCTTCTGTAACCCTCGCGTCCGCGCACGTTTATTCGGAAACTGGTCTGTCCTCCAATCTGGAGCCTTTTGTGCGCATCTGCAAGCTCACGTGTCCCCTCTATTCAGACCAGCGAGCTCGGGATATCTGACCGCGAACCCGCCTTTTCAGGGATTAAATCTCCTCGAACGAATACAATTCGAACGGGACGATTTACTTGGACCGGTTCGCGTGCTCGCCTATGCCAGGGTTTCTCAAATTTATCCGACGTCACGAAGAGATCGGAAAGTAACGTTTCAACCGGTAAAGAAATATTTATTCTTGGCTTGGCAAAGAAGCTTCTGATAACAAGCAGTCATATATTTAAGAAAACTGTAGAGATTGGTATTATTAGGCTTTCGATCCGATCGACCGGTAGCTCGAGGATGATTTATGACACAGTTTAGTATGTCGTGTTCTCGGAACGGGCTTGCAACTCGGTGCGATCTGCACTCTTAAAATAAATATACTACGTGTGTTCTTGCCTCGATTGACTTAATGACGTAAGCCTCTAGTGGTAGAGCTGCGCGATTTTCAACCGATCCACAGCGATAGTCTCGAGTAACTCTACACCACCGCAGTTCGTTCAGGAATTGTTTATTCAGCTTCGAATACCGCTCATGTCCGTCGATCTTCTCCAGACTCCCGAGTCGCGCATCATTTCGTCGTTTGTCGAATCCGTCCCCGAGCACGCGCGCGGGCAACCATAACCGCGGCGTATACGCGCTAATTACGCAACGGGTGATTCACGGCGCGCACATTTGTTTTGTCGGTCCGAAGAAAACGGCCGCCTTAATTGCCGAGCGAACGGATTTATGCTAACGTCCGTGCACCTTGGCGCGGCGTAAATTTAATTACTCTCGTATCCAGACACCGTGCGCGAGGATAATTAAAATATTCAGTCGCGTCTTCTTCTCCAGGCCGAGCTAGCGGTTTCCGAGGTAGGGGACACGTTCTACGATCCAGAAGAATGGGAAGAATGGGAAAGAACATTCTTCCTGTAAGAAAAACCTAGACAAACAGATTTGGAGTAGATTTCGTTGTATCTAATCTTCGAAATTAAACCTGTCTCTTCGCGAGGTGACTTACGTGTCGATAACCGTTTTCTAGAATGTGCTAGGCCTACTTTGCCGAACGATTAGGTCCTCGATCGATTCAAGATCCTACGGTACACTCCGATAACACAGACAAACGCAGAGTCATCTACCGCGGTCGCCGCGATAAAACTTAATCAAAGGGTTGCAATTACGACCGCTGGCGTGGCTCGAAGCCATCGATCCGAGCCAGCTAGCTGCTCGCTCGATCTCCGCGAAATCCGAAAACGTGATCTGGGATCTTATCTATCGCAATGATTTACGATACGGTCGTATATACAATTCGACCGATAACCGACTAAACCACGAGCACGAGCACCGTGGCACGAGAGAGCCAAGTGTCGGTCGATCGACGATAACGCCGCCCATCAAAGTGCTTTCTAAGATCACACCGTGAGGTCACAAGCCGGGGCCAACGACGATTTACGACGTTTATTATTGATAGAGTCGTCCAAGAAGGTGAACGACGCGATTCTTCGAAGACGGTGGCACGGTGAACTCGGTCGTCGTGACGCGTAGCTATCCTACTTTCATAAAACTTTACACAAGATCTTCCGAGACACAAATCAAAGTTGTATCACGTTTTTAAATGGTAATTAAAATGAAAAAGTCAATCGACTAAAGGGTACTTGCGAGTCCGAAATTGAAGCTTACTTTCATGGCGGATCCATGGCCGAATGGTCGCAATCGCTTTCTCTCCCACGTATCGCGCGAACTTTCGCGATTAGATATCGGGAATCGCCCGACGACCGTTTCTAGCTACTAGCGCCGATTAGATAGGACCATAATTGCGGAACAATGACCGACCGTAGGCCGTTAGCACCGGGACATTGTATTGCCGCGAGAGTCTCGTTCGAGAATCGATACGTCGAGGCCTGCCTACGCGAGCCGGCGTTCCTATACGTCGATAATTTCGATACCGTGCGAATCGCGATTATCCGCGCGTGTATACCTGTCCGTTCGCCCGTGAACGCTCGAATTTACAACGCTTGCTTTAACACCGTTTCGCGCATTTCACCTCCTTCCCCCTCCAACCCTTTTAAATCCCGCTCAACGTTCGCAGCTATCGGGGTGTCTTTATTATCGTAAACGGTTATTTAGGGCACGGTGAATTTTTCTATTCCGCAGCCTAAACTCTTCTTGCCTAAACTCTTTTCAACCGTAGAAGACTTTTCATCCGAATATATTTACGCGCCAGGACACGAACGGGGCTCGAATTTATTTTCCATCGTTGAAAGACATTCCGGTGTTTTCCTTGGTTGGAAGAAAAGAGTTTGGGAAACGCTGCTGGAGTGAATTTCTTGGATGGGAGGAGACGTTCGATGCCCCTGTAGCTAAAACAGCTCCTCCCATGGTTCTTTTATCCAGCAGCTTTCGGTCTTAGTTTTCTATTTCCGGTCTTCAATTTCCGACAGTAAATATCCGGCTGATCTTGCGAAGTATCCTCCATAAAAATGTCATCTCTATTTGCTCCCTATGTAAAGATAGACGGTCCGATCAAATTTATACTTGCAACGCCAACAACAACTAAAATTCAAACTTACGACTCCCCCGAAGAAGGAGCGAAATCGATACCAACGGAGAACGTGCTACGCTTATAGAGCTATTTCTTATCGGCTTACGAGCTTGCTAGCAACGCTCAGAAAGCTTATTAATGGTCGGACGAAGCGCACGGCTCGGATACCGCTGATCGATACATTAATTCCAAACGTGCCAAGTACACGCCATCCGCAAATCTCATCGAGGATGCGTGACGAGTTTATCAGGAAATGTAGTCTGCGGAGAGTAGCAGTCAACACTTTAAGCATTCTACGAAGTCGACAGACTTCTGCGATCGTTTCCTTGCGACGTTGAAACCATGGCATCGCGGTTGTACGTGGTTTAAAGTTAACGCGTAGAGTACGATGTCCTATGTGACGAGAACGATTCGAGTACATTAAGTCTTGTTTCGAAAGCGTAGATGCAAGAACTCTCATCGAAATCGATTGAAGTAAACCGTGTTAGAATCATTTATAGAGAAATATAGAACTGGATTCAGGGAATGCTTCATGAAATAGAAGCGAGTGTAAAGTAACAGTTGCGACTCCAGACCTGTTTGAACATATTTGAGTGATGAACAAGTTCCTTGGGCTTCGTTACGTTTGGCACTTTCATGAATTAACGCAACTATATAAATTAGAAAACCACCGCGGCGCGATTAACGTTCTCCGAACGAGTTCGCGTTACTGGCTCTCGGATCGTAATCGTTTCTTTATCCTATATTGAATTAATTTCGTACTTGAAGAGGGTTCCAAGAACGAGAGCTGAATAAATTACGTTCTACACGACTGTACCGGTTTTACTTGCTCTTGTATTAATAAGGAAGGAACAGGCTCCATCCCGTGTACGTGTTGTATAACGTGGCATTAATTTGAATGTTCGTGGCAGACATTGCTTGTTATTATGACAAATCGAAATCATAAAATTAGCAAAGCGAGCGCGATTTCAATGTTTCGACCACTTCGGTAGTGTACGCGCTCTCGATCCTGATTAAAACGCAGAACATAATTTTAAAAGATTAGACGTGTTACGAATTAAGAACATTTAACACGTTGGTCGCCACGTCACCCAGAAATAGGTGACAGGACTTTCCGTTAAGGAACTAAAAATATTCATTTCAATAGGTGAGACAATAATGAAAATAAATCTGGACAGGATTCTTGAATTTGACAACGTTAAAAAATTAAATACTACGACAGATATTAAATTATCTGATGTTCAATTTTAATGAGTTTTAGCTTGGCAGCCAACGTGTTAAATCTGCGCCCTAAAGCAAATTTAAGCTCGTTTCTCAAATTCTGTGATTTCGATAAATTCGATAGCGTTTATTCGACGAATCGTTCGCGACTCGTTTCTAGATCCGTTAGCCCAATCGTGGCAACATCGCGTATTGCCAATTCCGCGGTAACTCCGGATATTGCAACGTGAAAAGGCATCCCTGGCCCCGGTCCGTGTGTTCGTTCCGAGGTTAGCGTCTCGCAAGGGAAGGAATTCTGCTGGCAAATGAGCTTCGAAGTCTATAGAGTACCATAGACGGTATATACCGAGCACTCGCGGAAGGCAGACACTCCGTATCGACCAGGGACGGCGGGAACAGATTGAAAGGTGAGGCAGACAGGTAGGCCGTATGTCGGCGAGTACGCGTACGTAACGGTCGTTACGTTAATGACCAGCCGCGACGGTGAAGTACGTAACCGAGCTTTCGGCCAATAATGAGCATTACGCTCGCGAACCAGACCCGGGGACGGGTTGGAACTAATCGATGCTGCCCGCCGGGGGAATCGATTCTTTTTGCCAGTCAGGGGAAATACACCCGAGGAAAAATTCATGTACCTCTAACCCTTTCGATCAATTTCCTGGCCGACCCTTCCGACGAACATATGAGGGTCATTTCATGCTTGAGAAATGATTCTTTTTTGGAGGTGGGAACGTAGGTCTTCGCTAACGAGCCGTTAGGCGTGCGGAAACCATCGCTTTACAAAGTTTTTTTAGCACAGCAAGCGCTGGGTCGAGCACGTTTTTTCCCCGTACACTTCAAAAAATTTGAAAATTTGTCTCTCGAATAGCTTTCAAAGTCATGGTATTTCAATGTAAAATATGCTATTTTATTTTACGAATTTCATTTTTGAAATAACATATTTCAGATTGAAATACCACGACTTCGAAAGTAATTCGATAGTAAAATTTTCAAATTTTTGGAAGTTTGGAAAAGAAACGTGTTCGAGCAACATCGACCCAGGTGGTTGGCGAAAGCAATAAAACCAAGGTAACCGACAGAGGGTTATATTACCAGACGTACCGTTTACTCGATGCACGTATTTTGAGTTACCACGGCAAAACGGTCTACCTAGTTCGGGGAACCATTTGATTTCCGTGAACCACTACAGGGATAATTGGGTAGAATTGGTTAGAGAGTCGGGGCAAACTAGGCGCGGAACTGGCTGAGCAATAACCCTAATATTCGAAGCCGGCGAATGACAGGGACGCTATAGGAAGGCATAATTCCCCATTTGGAAGGCATCGATTGAACGAAACCTTATATCCTGGGCCCGGCTGAAATTCGAGGACGTCACGCTATGGCTTTCTTCCGTCTATGAATTAGTGAAAAGGAAATTCTTAGGAGCC